AAGGGTTAACATACGCAGATTAGTATGGGGCCCCTATGCTCGTGGGGCCCAAGGACAAGTGCCCATCAGGCTTATGCATTAAGACAGCCCTGATTAGATACTTCTTGCTTCTGGTTTCCAAAATTCAAATCTATTCACCAATTTCTTACACTTGTTCCTATCTTCTACTTTTTTCATTTGCAACTTTGAGACTTGCTGTTGAAAAAGTAGAGCAATAACTGCTATGTTCTGAAGTTCCCCCTCTGGTCTGGTTTCCAGTAGGGGGTGCCCAGCTGCAACCTGATTAGCTGGTAGTTTGACAGCTGACCATATAAGGAGCTGTCAAACAGGCCAACAGCTGTTGCCTCATGGCTGAGTGGTTCATTCGCTGTTAGTGCGCGAATTCAATAAAGCCTGAGCAACCAATTTAGCCGCCTTGCCTCATTCTGTGGCGCATTCGTTCCCAGTACGAAGTACTGGTGACGAAGGTGGGATGAGATTTCCACCCTCGAGACATTAGGTGAGCTTGAAGTCCTCCTGTGGGGCAACCAAAAGAGCTGATCACTGTGGCAGAGAGAGCCAAACAAGCCAGAAGGGCATACAAAAAGAGCAAAGTCACGCTGAGGGAACTCGATAAAACCCACCAGCCACCTGCCTAAGTATCAAGGGTTCTGTAAAGCTGTTCAGAATGGCAGCGTTAAATTCATTTGTGCCATTTGACGCATCCACAGAGACTTGGGAGTCATATATTGAGCATTTTGACTGTTTCCTAGAGGCAAATGATCTGGTGGATTTGACAGGCAGCCGGCGAAGGGTGCTGTTTCTAAATTTCTGTGGCAAACAAATGTTTGACACAGCCAGAGCTCTGTTAGCACCTCAGCCCCTGATTTCTGTCACCTGGGAGGCGTTAATGGCAAAGCTTAAGAACCATTACACTCCCACTCCCTCATGAATTGCCTGAAGGCACGCATTCCACGGGCGCGAGCAAGCTGAGGGGGAAACTGTTAATCAATTTATGGCAGGTCTCCAAACAGATGTTTTCCATTGCGAGTTTAAAGAGCTGGATGATGCCTTGCTGGATCGATTAGTCTGTGGGTTAAAAGACCTCCGAATCCAGCGCAGACTACTAGCAAAGCCTGATCTGACACTACAATTAGCACTGGATGAAGCCTGCGCTGCGGAGCTATCCAACAAGTCGACGGTAGAGATTCATGGCGTGAGCAGCCCAGCTTCGGGGAGAAAAACCTTAGCTGTCCACCAAGAAGAGGCTACAGAGGAAGACCTTGATGTACCAGGGGATGACAACACCCAACGGCTGAAGACTGCATCAGGTAATAATTGGCAATCCACAAAAACAGCCCAGGCACAATCCTGCATAGTGTGCAGCCTGCAGATTTCGAACTGCAAGCTGTCAGCACTGCAGAAAGAGAGGCCATTTAGCTAGGAAGTGCAGAGGGCAAAACAAGGGCAAATGACCCCTAGAAAAGTTTCTAGGTTGGGGGAAGAGTGTTTCACCATCCAAAGGGATAATTGCCACATCAACCCCAGGGTAGGGCAAACAAACTTATCACTAAAGATTTTTTTTTTCTTTCAGTGAAAATTGAGGGACAGGATTGTCAAATGGAGGCTGTCACAGGATCTTCTTTGTCACTGGTTAGTTGGAGCACAATCAAAAGGTTGGTGCCCAAAATGGCAAAGAAAAGATTAAGACCCTGTTCCCTCACATTAAGAGACTATCAAGGGAATACAATTCCCATTTTGGGTCTCACTAAAGTGACAGTAGTTTTCAAACAATTCAAAGGCCGTCTCCCACTAATAGTTGTGGAAAAGGCATTGCCAAGTTTACTGGGCCTTGACTGGTTCGAATCCCTAGGTCTGGCCATAAGTGGAGTGCATGCCACAAATGGACAAAGCACTGAGACCATAGATGCACTGGCAAAGGAATTTGCTAGTGTTTTTGACAATGACCTAGGTAAATATACAGGGAAGCCTATTTCGCTGAATTTAGACCCTACACTTATGCCTAGGAGATTGAAGGCCAGGCGAGTGCCCCTGGCACTCCGCCCAAAAATCAATGCTGAATTCGATAAGCTTATATCACAAGGGGTATTAGAGCCAATAGATCACGCTCCCTGGGAGATCCCAATTGTCACGCCAGTCAAGGCTGATGGATCGATCAGGGTGTGCGCTGACTATAAGGCAACCCTTAATTTGGTATTACAGCAAAGCACGTACCCAGTGCCTGTTGCATTCATGGGTAACGGAAATTTTTTTGCAAAGCTTGACATGGCTCAAGCGTATCAACAGCTGCCAGTGGACTCAGCCACTGCAGAAGCCCAAACCATAGTAACACATAGAGGTGCATTTAGATGCAATAGGCTACAATTTGGCATTAGTGCTGCCCCTGGGATATTCCAGTCCCTAATGGAATGACTCTTACAAGGCATCCCTGGAGTCGTTCCATACTTTGATGACATTATTGTGTCAGCTAGAGATGAAAAGGCACTTTTAGACAGCCTAAGGGAAGTTTTTTAAGAGATTCCAGGCAACAGGTTTGAAACTAAAAAAGAGTAAGTGCCATTTGGGCATACCTAAGGTGGAGTTCCTGATCGATGCTGCTGGAAATTATCCCATGACAGCTAAGGTCCAAGCCATAAAAAATGCTCCCACTCCAAACAACAAAACTGAACTGCAGGCTTTCCTTGGCCTCCTGAATTTCTACGCCATTTTCATTACTCACAAGTAGCTGAACCCCTACATAGACTTTTAGATAAAAAATCTCCTTTGGTTTGGGGCAAGAAAGAGGCTAGCTCTTTTAAGGCTGTGAAGGGCTTGTTAACTTCAGACTCAGTTCTCATACAATTCAACAAAAGCTTACCATTAGTGTTAGCATGTGATGCTTCTTCATATGGAGTAAGGGTGGTTTTGAGTCACAGACTGCCTAATGGCTCTGAGGCCCCTATAGCATTTTTCTCTAGGACCCTATCGCCGGTGGAACGCAATTACAGCCAAATAGATAGTGAGGCCTTTGCTGCCATTACTGGCATTACACGTTTCCACAAGTATTTTTTTGGACATAAGTTTGAACTTATCACGGATCATAAGCCCTTATTAGGCTTATTCTCTGGGGATAAACAGTTTCCTCAAATACTCTCCCCTCGAATGACAAGGTGGGGGTTTTTTGGGCAGCATACTCATACAAACTGACATATCGGCCAGGCAAACATCTCAGCCATGCTGATGCCCTCAGCAGGTGCCCGATTCCAGCTGCAGCAGAGGACCAGGAGGCTGAGGAATCCATCCTCCTCATTGACCATCAACAGGACTTCCTACTGACCGCTGCAGACATTGCTGCCCATTCAGCTAAAGACAGACTCTTAAGGCAAATTCTGGACTGGGTGAAAAGGGGATGGACACAAGGGTCTGTGCCTGCTGACTGTTGTCCCTTCAAAATAAGGCAACAAGAAAAACATCTGTTATAGCTTCATGATTCTTGGTCTTAATTTAGAAAGACCTTTTTGGGAAAATCAACACTTAATGAAATACTGTTTTAAGCCTTGTTATTATAAACACAGCAAATTGTGCCAGGGCAAAAACTCACTTCCTACTAGAAGATATTGTGTTGGCTTCTTTTGAACAGACAAAAGGAAACCAGCCTTTTAAAGAGGATTGAAAAGGATGTGATTGTTTAATCTCGAAGAGCCACCTAGTGGAAGCCGTTAAATAATGCACCTTGCTTGTTTCAATAAACAGCCTGCTTAAGTGATGTCCTCACATAGAGTCAAGAGGTATGGTTTGGTTAAAGCATGCTGTTGCTGCTATCAGCTCTTTAGTCCTTGAGAGAGAAAAGTTTATTATACTTTCTAGTTGTTTACTAGAAGCAAACCAGCGATCTGAAGAATGGAGTTGAAATCTTTGTCTTGAATTAACTCACTATGCAATTAGGCTATTTTACCAATATTTTGCCTGAGCAATGTTAGATAGAGTGCTAAATGCAACAAACCAGTAAAAGCTGTATGTTTTTAATTAAGGCAATTTCAAATTAATGTGTTTGGAAGAGTAATAGATATATTCTTCCTTGAAAGTAATGGTTGAGATGTATAGCAATCTGTTTGGAATGTAGATGCCTTTGGATGACATAATACTCGGCTAATAAAAAGCATTTCAGCAGTAACAAAGGAGGCATGTTCAGCTGTCTGTCTCTCTCTTGGGGGCTGGTGTTGTATCCAATAATCATGTGCAAGATCTGCTAAAGAGATTTTCCCAATTTTCTTGGCT